GTAAAGATTTACACCCTCGGAAACCCTGTACAGGGTCGCTATGGGTCGGAACTGACTCGACGGCACTTAACAACAACAACAACAATGGCAGTCTACACAACACTTTCATATTTTTGACAATAATTGTGCTCCCACATTCAGCATTATTACACAGTTAACTTTAGTGGTTGATATAGGCTGGAGACATTTCATGCCTCTTAGTTAAATTTGATTTCACCCCTAATTGTGATACAACTGTGGTAAAACAAGAAGTGAAGGTGAAATTGAATCTCTTTCATTTCATAGCCACAAAGCACTTTGCCAACAAAAAAGCAGCATTCTTTTCAACACCTCCACACTACAGAGGTAGTAGTTTTCAGAACTTCCACAGGACAGAAAAGGAAACCAGAGTTGAGTAAGATTAGGGTCATAGTCACACAGTTTTAGGGAGAAGATAAATAGGCCATAGATTGTCCTTTCCTTGAAGCTGCTAGACCCAAGACCACCATAATGTCAGGTCCAAAGAGACCATGATCTCCAAGATGAGAAAACGTTGCTGTGCCCGGTCTAATTGGTTTTGCCTTATGAAGTAATGCTTTAATCTGAACTACACAAGTCTATGGCCTCAAACTTTTCAAACTGAGTTACAACCCATAAGTGGGATGTGAAATCACAAGAGTTCAACCAATACTTTTTTAACAAAATAAAATCAAATTTACAGACTAGAAAATATTTCAGTAGATTAACAATAATGAGAAAAACATTGATTTATGAAACTTAGTTCAATTTTATACATGTACACACACAGTGCTGTCCATTTGTGTATGCTGTTGTTGTTAAAAGTTGTCAAGTTAGTTCTGATTCTAGCGACCCTATATATAAGGTTTCCAAGGAGCAGCTAGTGGGTTTGAACTACCGACCTTGTGGTTAATAGTCAAGTGCTTATCCTACAGTGCCACACCAGGACTCCAGTTTGTGTATGCTATTGTTGTTAAATACCATCAAGTCAGTTTGGACTCATAGCAACACTTATAGGGTTTCCAAAGAGTAGCTGGCAGGTTTGAACTGCTGACCTTGTGGTTCACAGTCAAGTGCTGATCCTACAGTGCCACACCAGGAGTTCTATATATACATACACACACTCCTCACTAAATCAAGTTGATTCTTAAGCAATAATACTCACAAACAGAATAAGGGTTCCTATATGCTTTAATTGGTTAGCCATATAAATGCTTTTTTTTTTTTTCATGTGAACCACCGTAAGAGAGAGCAGTGAAGAGGGGGAAAAGAAAAATTTAAAGTTACCAGCTTAAACAAGCCACAAAAAGTAGTATGATTGGAAATTTTTAAATTGCTTCCAAAATAGTTTAACACACTTTCCTTCTTCTGTCCTAATTATGTTTCACTTGGTTTCCCTGAACCTGTGTGTTTAGGAATATATCTAGTTTTATTAACAACTGATGCAACAGGCAGAAATGAAAAGTGGGACATAACTGAAAAATAGGACATACGTTTGAATGTTAATGCCAAATCCCCATCACAAAGCAAGCCCGGCCAAATCCTGTCACTCCATCTGCCAAACCACTGGGCAGCATGGATCAGAGGCTGCTTTCTTCTCCCTTGAAAAAAACTTTAGAAGGCAGGTTTCTCAACTATCTGGGCAAAAAACCAACTGTTCTCTAGGGATACAGAATCTTGAACAAGATCATGAGCAATTTATGTTTTTCAGTAAAATTAAAGTGTTGTTGTATCATGATTTTTTTAAAATTTTTGCAACAAAGTCTATGAACTATGCAATATATTCAAGTGTGATTTTAGCAAAAAATTCATGTGCCTGATTCTCTTAAATAACTCCTCACTCATCCCCACCCTTAAGAATCCTCCATCCCACATCACCCTAAATCCTTCCACTTCTGTCCAGGTCTGGATGACTACTTGTGGACCAGTGTTGCCACTAGCCAGCATAGGTCTTTATTTGCAAGCACCATTCGGGGATTACACTTATTCTTGGGAGTTTAGCCATTTTTGTTCTCAAACAAGAGCCCTGGTGGTGCAATAGTTAAGCGCTCAACTGCTAACCTGGAAGGTTGATGGTTGGAACCTACAAGCTGCTCTATGGGAGAAAGATGTATCAGTCTGCTTCTAAAAAAGACTTACAACCTTGGAAACCCTATGTGGTGGCTCTACTCTGTCCTACACGGTTGCTATGCGTTGTAAAGACTCAGTGGGGTTTGGTTTGGTTGCTAGTTTCCAAACAAATCCTCAGGAAGTTCCCAGTGATGGTAGTTGTGGTTTAGGTGACATTCCATATGAGTTCCAACTCATAGTGACTCTATGCACAACAGAAGGAAACGCTGCCAGTGGTAACATGCCCCAAAGGTCTTGAGTTTAGTAGCCATTTGCTTGCAAATACATTGTAATAAAGACACTGTTAGTACCCTATATCTACCAACAATGGCATCACACAACACCAAAGATGATGTTCTCTTAACATCTTCATGGCTTCTGTTATTAATGAGTCAATTGATTTCCCCTTGCAAACACCAGTAACAGGCAGATTTAGTATAAGGCTGACAGTAAATACTTGAAATAAAATGACAGAATCTCCTCATTCTCAATTTTTGTTGTTGTTAAGTGCTGTCGAGTTGGTTCCAACCCATAGCGAACCTATATAGGGTTTCCAAGTATCAGCTGATGAGACTGAACCACTAATCTTGTGGATCAACCCTCCTTTGCAATCCAACAACAGCCCTACACCAAGACTCACATTCTCAACAGTGCATTACAAAGAGGACTTTTGTCATTCAGCCAATAACTACAATTAAATTCTGTCACATTCTCTGACTTTAAAAATTACTAATATTTTTATTCCTATTAATTTATTTTTCATTCTCTTATTTTCCGGAAAAAGTTTACCTAACAGACAAGTTCGTTTTGCACCACAAAACATGAGTTTATATCTAAAACAAGAGTTACCTTGCGTTTTAGGTTTATTTTCTAGGAAACAACAACTTGGGTCATAAAATCATAATATCTCTCAAAGTTTTAATTAAACACCATCTTACAGAGAACTTCCTAACGATAGACATTACTACTGAAAGACATACCAGAAGTACTAAGAACCGTTATTTTTTTCTCAAAATATGTTGTCTATGATATTTTTAAAAACTAGATGACAGAGCACAAGCATTAGCAATATATAATTAATTCACAGTTACGCTCCCAAAAGAACTGCAAATACTAATACCACATTTTTAAAGTAAATAAACTTTGAATTCCTCAGGTTTTTACTATAAAGTCTACCCTCCTGTAAATATGTACAGTCAGCTATTTAAATTTTGTTCTACCCACTTTCCCACTCCTCAAGCTGAAGGGAGACTTTTGAGGCAAAGCTTATTATTACTCATAAAGATAATACACACTGATGGTAAACTGGAGCCTAGTAGAGGCCTCTGAAGTCAAAATTACTCGGAAAGCAGTTCTATTTGTTGCTGAGACAGTCCCTGCAGCACTAGCAGACATTTCCTCTACTAGGTGGTAGTTTCTAAAACACCAAGTACACAATTTAAGTAGATAATCTCCTTAATCAGAAGTTTATACTGCTTGATTAATGTGCATCTTACAATGATGGTAGGTTGCAAACCTTACAGGAAAAAAAAAAAAAAATTCAATTTCAACCTCCTAGTGAATACACAGCAGTAGAATCTTTGGATGAAAAGCAAAAAAAGTTTCAAAAACAGTAAGCTTATGTATGCATGTATTATTAAATATTCAGAGATTTCTAAACATAGTTAAAAGTGACAAATTACTACATTTTCATTCAGAAGTTTTGCCCTTTTACACATCTTTTTTAATCAATGGGACCTTAATAGTACAAAATGGGGATGGGGAGTGACACTTGAAACTTCTCACTAAGTACCAACATGCAGAATACTGTTTTGTGGTGCAAAATGAGCGTGTCTGTTAGGTAAACTTTTTTCCAGAAAAAAGAGAATGAAAGATAAAATTGCAAAAAGTGTTACAGACAAATGGTATAACTTGTCAACAGTTGAAATTACATCCTCAGATTCCTTATATAAAGATCCTGGATCTAAAAGGAGTATTGAAAAGAAGTCTGCTTACCTATGGAAACAGAAAGGAAGAAATGCAAAAGAAGGTATAGAAAAATAATTTTCAATGAATAAAAAATATGAAACGTGTGCCAAAATCGTTACCTATTTGGATCTTTAGAGGAGGGATGAGGGGCATTTCTGCAGCCCGCGTGAGATGACTTTTTGCATCCATAATTTAACCAAATCACTCCAACACTTGAAAGATGAACAGCAGAACTCTTCTCACTAATTACCACTGCTTGGACCCCATGTGCTGCTTCCTCTTTAAAGCCACACTAGTTCATTATTCTGCCTCCAACTCTTAAATGATTCATTCCCTCCCCCCCCCCTCCCCTTCACTCCTGAGCAGACTCGGCAGGGAAGCTAGTATTTAAGTTTAATTTCTAGTACCACTTGGTTTCGAGAGCTTGGTGAAGGGTAAGAGGAGGAATCTAATTTAATAATTCTGTCATGATTTAGAGGGGCAACCCTCACCTCCTTACCCCCAAATAACTAGAAAAACAGGACCCTATAATTTGACAAGCTATAATCGTGAGCAAAGACACCAATTGAGAAAACAGGGCCCACGTGCTGTGGGAGCTGTCATCCAAGTTAAGTGGCAGTCAGCGAGGAGGTGGGTAGGTAGCAAGGAACCGGGCTGCTGAATGCAGCTGCACGGGCCTTGGCTCTGGGGTCTCCAAGCAGGGAGACCCGAGGCTCACCTGAATGATGTTTAGCTTTCTCCCAGTCACTAAATGTGGAAGGGCAGGGACGCCGGCCCCCTAATCCCCTGGGGGGCTGTCGTTGCGAGAGACTGAGACCCAGTGAGCTTGGCTCCGCACAGTCCAGGACGCCCCCTGAGCGCCACGGAGCCGAGGAAGAAGCACCGGTGCCCGAGCCAGCAGTCCCCCAGCGCCGCCCCCGTCTTACCGTCCCAGCTCCGACTCCACCTCGAAGAAATGGCTCAGAGCGTCCCTGTTGGAGCCGTCGATCCAATAATCCGGGACGAGGCTCCCGGCCCCTCCTGAAGAGCAGGACGAGGCAGAACAGGAGGGCACCGTGACTTTGAGCATCTTCGCGGCGGGACTCTGGAAGCCGCCGCCGCCGTCTCTACCCAAATGAGAAGCCAAGCGGCCACCGCCACCGCCGCCTGCGAACGCAGGAACGAGAGGTGGCGTCCTTCACTCACGCACACACCCACCACCACCGCCGCCCCCCGGTGCCCTCGGCCGCGCTCCAGAAGGAGGTGGGCGGACAAGGGAGCTAGGAACCCGGAGAGGGTGTAGAGGAGAATCCGGAGTCACCACCAGCAGGGGAGAGAGGAGGCGGAGGCTCTGCAAAGGAGAGAGACGCCCTCCCCCTTCTCTCCTCCCTCCTCACCTCTCCACCTCCTCCTCGCCGAGCCTTTCCAGCCCCCCTCCCTTTTTTCCTTTCTCCCTCCCCGGCTGAGGCTGCGGTGGTGCCGCCTAGGGCGGCTCCGGATGCCGGAGCTTGGGGAAGGCAAAGGGACCAGAGCATCATCCCACGCACCCTCCCGCGGGAGCTGAGAACCTGAAAGGAGACCGCGCGCAGTGGGACGCTCGTTCCGGGAGTGGCGGGCGTCCAGCGCGCTCTGGGAGCGCGCGAGTCCGGGTGGCCCAACCGGATGGTGAAAAGGGACTAGGCTGTTGTTGCCGCAACTCAACCCTCCTTGAACGCGTCCTGGTGATAGCTCCCTCCCACCTAGTACCAGTTAACCAGACATCCCTTGTTTGGCCCCATGTCAAAGCTTAAATAGGAAGGTGCCCTGTGCTCTCAATCCCCTAGGCTCCTGTGCCCTGACCTAATGAAAGCAAGGAAAAAAGGAGGTTCCGTGATCCACATTGAACTGACTCACCTTTGGGTGGTCTTCAGTTAGAATAGATGCTGCTGTTGCTGGTGGTACTGCCTCCTCAGGCTCTGCTGGGGCGCCTGAAAGGGCAGATACTTGGCTGTGTCTAGTTCCCTCCCAATATCTGAAGGCCCTCAACAGAAGTGGCTCAGAGAATTACAGGTCTGCAGTGACCCTCTGTAAGTCAGGTAGTCCAACCCTCTGCTTTAAGACAGGACCTGTCATCATTTGTGACAAAGAAGATTGCTACATTTAAAGCCCTTACCTATCCCCAAGAGATATGTCCCATCACAGGTATTCTAATGTCCATCTATCAACCATCCTGCCTATTCTAAGTACTTGTATATCACGTATTTTAACTTACACTTTTTTTCTTGTGGATTTCAGCAAAGGTGAAATCTTTTGTACATATAGAACCTGCATCTGATCATACTTCTAGCTATCTAATTCTAGGCCCTTTAATATTAGAGACAGAACTTTCAGTCTCTTTTTCCTTGGACTTTTCTCCTGCATGCACTAAACTCTTTCCATTGTGTCTCCAATCCTGACAGCAGTCAAAATTGTGGTCCAATACTTGTCCTAATTTATTGATTGATTGATTTCCCTGCTGTTTTAGTGGTCTACAAAATAATAATAACCAAGTAGTGTTAGAAATGTAATGCTTAGTTGATTATAAATGAAAAATAAGTACAATAATTATTCCTCACTTTACGAGGTTGGATGCATGCTGAATTTATAAGTGCTTTAGAACATAACATGGGTTTACACAAACTTATACACTGGATTATTTAGTGGTAATAATTAAAACTGAAAGTACTCACATGACTTGTTACTTTTCAGAGAAAAGTAATTTCATAAGCAACATAGAAAAAAAAATGTTTTTACAGAAAACTCTCCTTCACACTAAGTTCCCTTTGGCTTGCTCTGAGTGGTGGAGTTATGGGCATGAAATAGTTACAAGGCCATTTTTATTCACACTGCTTGGAGACAAGTTCTGAAGTGATATGTGAAGATATTTGTATGTTGTGAGCAATTATTTTACAACCTAAGTTTAAAGCAAACATATTATATTGAAGGAGATTATAAGCCCTTTTTCTCCCCCACATTTTTAGAGAATAGCTGGAGAAACAATCATTTCAGTCTCTCTCTCTCTCTCTCTCTCTCTCTCTCT